ATGTGTACTCCCACAGTCTAGTATACTGGACAATGTGTACTCCCACAGTCTAGTATACTGGGCCATATGTACTCCCACAGTCTAGTAGACTGGACAATGTGTACTCCCACAGTCTAGTATACTAGACGATGTGTACTCCCACAGTCTAGCATACTAGACAATGTGTACTCCCTCAGTCTAGTATACTGGACAATATGTACTCCCAGCCTAGTATAATGGGCCATGTGTACTCCCACAGTCTAGTATACTGGACAATGTGTACTCCCAGCCTAGTATACTGGGCCATGTGTGCTCCCACAGTCTAGTATACTGGGCCATGTGTACTCCCACAGTCTAGTAGACTGGGCCATGTGTACTCCCACAGTCTAGCATACTAGACAATGTGTACTCCCACAGTCTAGTATACTGGACAATGTGTACTCCCAGTCTAGTATACTGGGCCATGTGTGCTCCCACAGTCTAGTATACTGGGCCATATGTACTCCCACAGTCTAGTAGACTGGACAATGTGTACTCCCACAGTCTAGTCCCACAGTCTAGTATACTGGGCCATGTGTACTCCCACAGTCTAGTATACTAGACAATGTGTACTCCCACAGTCTAGTATACTGGGCCATGTGTACTCCCACAGTCTAGTATACTGGACAATGTGTACTCCCACAGTCTAGTAGACTGGACCATGTGTACTCCCACAGTCTAGTATACTGGACAATGTGTACTCCCACAGTCTAGTATACTGGACAATGTGTACTCCCACAGTCTAGTATACTAGACAATGTGTACTCCCACAGTCTAGTATACTGGGCCATGTGTACTCCCACAGTCTAGTATACTAGATAATGTGTACTCCCAGTCCAGTATACTAGACAATGTGTACTCCCACAGTCTAGTAGACTGGACAATGTGTCATTTTAACTGAAAGAGGACGATACAAACCTTGGCAAACATGGAGCGGACCGAGTTGTTGTTTTTCTTGCGTACAATCCTCTGGTCAGTGGAATCATTTAAAGCTTGGGATATGATGTGTGCCATGTCCTCGCTAAACTCCTCCTACAGAATTTAAATATCATGAATAATCATATCCTTAATAAATTTGCACAACTAATTATATAATCACAAAATCTGCCATGTCCCTGCTAAACTCCTACTACTTAATTTAAATATCATGAATATTTATAGCCTGAATACAATGCATGTCCATAATCACAAGTTGAAATGAATACTTTCCATTTAATTTAAACATTATGGGCATGCATAACAATAACAAGCTTCATCACAGGTAAGAAGCTAGGTGGAAGACATCAAAAGCAGTAATTGCCTGCCACTTTTGCCAGTTATTGCTAACCTGTAGACCATTAAATCTGCAGACCATTAAATCTGTATACCATAAATTAGTCTTCGTTAACTTATGGTGTCTAGTTAATACTGTTGAGACTCGGGGATCCGTGCACAGACTCAGGTTCTAGTTTTACCACTGAGTGGAGACAAAGCTTACTGTTTTGTATCCATTTTCTAGCGAGCATAATACTTATATAAAAGGCCCTACCTAACCTGGACCACCGTTGGCACCTCTCCCCACGGTCTTGACTCGAAAAATGTATCAGTTTTCTTATTAAAATTTATTGGTATATTAAACTTCTAATTAATTATCAAAATTTATGGGCATAACAAATTTAAATTAATTCCAATATTTTCCGAAGTATTGACAAGTTTGATATCAATTTCCCAAATTCATTTTTTTTTTTTTAAATGACACGTAGTTTTTCAATGAACTCATCAATATTAAAGAAACATGTACAAATTGTGATTTAAAAAAAAAAAAGGACAAGCATATACATGTACCTTCCAATGATTTTACCAATTTTATCTGAAGCTGCTTTTGTACATTGAAAATATTAGCAAGAATATTCAAGTAAAATCTCTGCCAGACCTAACTCCTAAACAAATAATTTCTGTCCATGGTTGGATTTCTTTTCTATTACTTTTATGCAATTTATTCATTAAATTCTATGGGAGGTACCCCTTAACAACACCTCCAGTCCTGGGGTGGAATGAATATTTTACTGAAATTAGCCCTTAAAATATATTTGTAATCTTTTCTTCTGAAAAGAGAAGGAAGTTTCCCGTAGACTCATGCCCAGAGTATTGATACTATAATTTCACCATGCAGTAGACTGATCCCTAAAGTATTATAATTATATAGTTTCACCACGCAGTATCTACTTGGTCCTGTTAACCTACCACGTTGTTGTATTTGTCAGCGGCCATCTTGGCTTTCACAGCATTGAAGTCGAGAGGGTAATCACGACTAGGCGCTGCTTTTCTAAATATTCCACTTTTATCGTTGAACCGGACATGTACTGAGGTCGTGCTTCCAGACTTTTTGGGCGTTATCAAGGAGATATCTGTAATTGGGGAGAACTTCAATTTTTCAGGAGTTTCACACTTTGTTTTACATACTTGGTTGTCTTTTGGAGTTTCACATTTCAATTCATCACTTTTAGTTTCACATCTTGTATCTTTTTCTTTTTCAGGAGATTCACATTTAGTATCTTCAGGTCGAGATGCTTCACATTTTGTATCCTTACTTTGAGACGTTTCACGTTTTGTATCCTCACTTTGAGACGTTTCACATTTTGTATCCTCACTTTGAGACGTTTCACATTTTGTATCCTCACTTTGAGACGTTTCACATTTTGTATCCTCACTTTGAGACGTTTCACATTTTGTATCCTCACTTTGAGACGTTTCACATTTTGTATCCTCACTTTGAGACGTTTCACATTTTGTATCCTCACTTTGAGACGTTTCACATTTTGTATCCTCACTTTGAGACGTTTCACATTTTGTATCCTCACTTTGAGACGTTTCACATTTTGTATCCTCACTTTGAGAGGTTTCACATTTTGTATCCTCACTTTGAGACGTTTCACATTTTGTATCCTCACTTTGAGACGTTTCACATTTTGTATCCTCACTTTGAGAGGTTTCACATTTTGTATCCTCACTCTTGAAGTCCAATGAGTTATTGTTGTCTATGTTTGATGCTGTCTCTGACCTACTTTCCTCTGTCTTAACCTCTACTTTAGAAATGTCCTCTGATTGAGCTGACTTCAGCTGTAAACTTGAATCTGATTGGTCACATTCTACTTTACAATCCTGTATAATTGAATTTGATTGGTCACTATTAAGCACCGATTCTCCTTCCACTTCCATTTGATTACTGTCATTGTCTGTGATTGAAATGATCTCTGATTGTACAATTGATTTAGATTTCTCAGGTGCTGATTGGTCCTTATCTGATGATAAACATGGTTCTGTTAGTTTGATGGATTGTGATTGGTCAACCATGGGATGCGAACACACTTGTTCCTTGTCACCTACTTGACCACTACTCTGACCACCATCTACCTCGTCTTTGTGGTCAGTTATTGACCCTTGTGTGTCTGCCTTTAGCTTATTCTGTAAAGCTATTCCATCATCATTACAACTTCCCTCTGATTCCTTCTGAGAAGCTGTTTCATCAATGACACTACCTCCCATTAATTTGTTTTTAAAATCTGTTTCACTACTTCCCTGTAAACTATTCACAGTGGCTATTCCAAGAATGTTTTTCCCTCCCCCAGATTCATTTTCAGAGGCTGTTCCTTCAGTTTTACTTGGTTCGTCTACCTCCATAGGAACATCACATTCATGACCTTCCCCATCACCTGACCCTCCAACTGTCCAAGGCACAGGTTTCTCCGCTAAGGAATCTTCACCAGTTTTAATATCACAGTTTGCTTCATTCCCCAAGCCCACACGTGCCCCACCCTTTAACAAAATTCCCCGCCCCTTGTCTAAATCTGTCTCCTTCCCTATTGCCCTACCCAAGGAGTTAGAATCACATTTTAAGTCTGTTATTGGTGTTACATCATCTTTGTCCGTTTCCATGCTTACCAACGTTCGCTCTGTGTTACACATACTAGCACCTTCTTTCCTCGACGTTGGATCATTTGATTTCCCCCCTTCTGATTTACTTTCTGCTAATTCTTTGCTAACTTTGTTTTCATAGTTGGCTGTTCTATCACAATCTCTTACTCCCTCCAATGATGATTGTTCTTTATTGCACTCTGTAACAGCTGTTCCAGCAGAACTACTTCCTCCCTTAGACACTTCTTCCTTCTCCACTGGCTCCTCCTGAAACAAACATTCCTTTAGTATTTTGTAGACGACACACAGGATATTATGGTTGGCGTAAGAGTACTAAACAAACATTCCTTTAGTATTTTGTAAACGACACACAGGATATTATGGTTGGCGTAAGAGTACTAAACAAAATTTAGTATTTTGTAGACGACACACAGGATATTATGGTTGGCGTAAGAGTACAAAAGTGATGATGTTTGCCCTGTGTTGAAAAAATTGCATTTCTGTGAAAAATTCTGTTTATTTGACCAAAAGCCTACAAGACAAACTTCTCCTCAATATAGGACCTGTTTATCATTTGTAATGACCTTGACCTTTATTACCTCCTTCTGTTACTTAATTTTACACTACATATAACCTTGACCTTTCATTCATATAGTACAGCAACAATGCCAATGATTTTAGTGAATAGTGTCAGCAGGTTATCCCTATCATAACTTTGACATAAACATACTTTCCTATGAATTAAGAATTAAATAAACCTTCCTGTGACCTTGACCTGGGTAAGCCATTCCTGTGACCTTGACCTGAGTAAGCTATTCCTGTGACCTGGACCTGAGTAAGCTATTCCTGTGACCTTGACCTGAGTAAGCTATTCCGGTGACCTTGACTTTAATAACCTTCCTAAGACCTTGACGAGAGTAAGCCATTCCTGAAACCTTGCCCGTTATAAACCTTACTAGGCCTTGGCCCGAGTTAGCCATTCCTGTGACCATGTCCTTAGTAAGCCATTCCTGTGACCTTGACAGAAGAAGGCCATTCCTGTGACCTTGACATAAGTAGGCCATTTCTATGACCTTGACCTGAGTAAGCCATTTCTATGACCTTGACCTGAGTAAGCCATTTCTATGACCTTGACCTCACCTTGACATCAATATGTAGGAGATGCTGGGCACACTTGGCACTGAGGAGAGTGTAAAAGACAGATTTGATGCCAGCCTGGAGGTCGTCCCGCAGAACCAGTTCCCAGTGACGTGGACGGTCGCCAGGGGAACACATTTTACAGATATAGTGAACATCCTCTGGTAGGAACGACACCCGCTCATACATTTCATCTGTAAGTGAAAACAGTGGGTTGGTGGTAAGTTTATTTGTTAAAAACGGTTGAAATTCATAAAGGAACAAGTCCTCATACAAATCATGGAGTTAGAACACTTTTCTCTATCGTCTTAAACAGATATTTCCCCCATAGAAGATTCGCCTTTCTCTAGTATTGGGATTAAACCCTCTTCCCAAAGGGGCCACATTTATAGGTATATTCAACTTGATAAGTAATATCAAAGATTCTAGAACCACTAGTCCAGCTGGAGATTTCACTAGTCTGAGACTATCGGGCTACCCTTATTGTCTGGTCCTGTGTCACTCGTCTGAGACTATCGGGCTACCCTTATTGTCTGGTCCTGTGTCACTCGTCTGAGACTATCGGGCTACCCTTATTGTCTGGTCCTGTGTCACTTGTCTCAGACTATCGGGCTACCCTTATTGTCTAGCCCTGCACTAGTCCAGCTGGAGGATTCACTAGTCTGAGACTATCGGGCTGCCCTTATTGTCTGGTCCTGTGTCACTAGTCTCAGACTACTGGGCTACCCTTATTGTCTGGTCCTGTGTCACTTGTCTCAGACTATCGGGCTACCCTTATTGTCTGGTCCTGTGTCACTAGTCTCAGACAATCGGGCTACCCTTATTGTCTGGTCCTGTGTCACTTGTCTCAGACTATCGGGCTACCCTTATTGTCTGGTCCTGTGTCACTCGTCTGAGACTATCGGGCTACCCTTATTGTCTGGTCCTGTGTCACTTGTCTCAGACTATCGGGCTACCCTTATTGTCTGGTCCTGTGTCACTTGTCTCAGACTATCGGGCTACCCTTATTGTCTAGCCCTGCACTAGTCCAGCTGGAGGATTCACTAGTCTGAGACTATCGGGCTGCCCTTATTGTCTGGTCCTGTGTCACTAGTCTCAGACAATCGGGCTACCCTTATTGTCTGGTCCTGTGTCACTAGTCTCAGACTATCCGGCTACCCTTATTGCCGAGCCCTGAAATGACTGAAACACCAGAAAGTGTTCCTATCATGCTGACACATTGGTAAATGTTCTTGATGACAACAGTACGTTACCGTTGAGTCCTTCACACTTGGCGTGTACCCAGCTGTCACAGCTCACACACTGAACCATCTTCGACTCCCAGTCGTCGTCAGAGTAACACTTATGGCACAGCGGACAGAAGTTTCCTGGAAAACGACACCAAACAATTATTACAGGTAATCAGTTGTCAAATAATTTACAACAGACATTCTTAAACTGTTAAAATGAAAAGTTAAATTTTCAAAACATCAAATGAATTCAGCAAAACCCCAAAGGATGCTTGACATTTTCTTTATTATAATTTCCTTTATTATAAGCATAAGTTTATAACACTAAAGTGCTTGTAGGACAGTTATGCTGTGGTTGACATACAGTTATTGCCCTTGTTTTGAAGCAGACATGAGTATTTGTTCACCCCCATGTTCCACAAGGCCGAAATCTGCGGAGAACATGACACAACAAGAGTTAACAAATAGTCATGCCTCCCCTTGATAAGTGAAGCACAAAGCTGATACAGTCCTGTAAATTGAACTGTAATTCAGCAGTAAATCAGAGGGAAATAGGACTGGCAAAACTAGAGTATGAGAGTGAACCATAACAATGTGTTCCATCTAATCCAATCAAATAGCACCTTGTAAAACAATGTGTTCCATCTAATCCAATCAAATAGCACCTTGTAAAACAATGTGTTCCATCTAATTCAATCAAATAGCACCTTGTAAAACAATGTGTTCCATCTAATCCAATCAAATAGCACCATTTATTACAATGTGTTCCATCTAATCCAATCAAATAGCACCTTGTAAAACAATGTGTTCCATCTAATCCAATCAAATAGCACCTTGTAAAACAATGTGTTCTATCTAATCCAATCAAATAGCACCTTGTAAAACAATGTGTTCCATCTAATCAAATCAAATAGCACCTTGTATTACAAGTTAAGAATAAGATGTATTAACCCTTTTACCCCTAAGTAACTTTAGTAGACTCTACCATACATTAATATGGATGAGTCCATTATGGTCTACAGTGGTTAAAGGGTTAAACAATAAAAATTAAATATTGCAGTATGATTTCTCCAGGGGTTACCTTAGCTAGTCTACCATCAAGTATTGTAGGACTGAGGTTTACCAATAATACAAACTTTCAGTCCCATTTAGATTATCCTACTACAGAGTGTTCCCAAGTAGGATTTTCCAGGGGATTACCTTTGTCCATTAGTTTGCCACACTCATAACAGAGCTGGAAATCATAAGTCCATGTGGCGTGTCCGGCGTTTCCTGGCGTGGTCGACCCACAGCTTTTACAGCGGACACACTTTGTACAAACCTATACAATAAAACAACAAATTACAAAACCTCATCTTTGCTAAAGCTTTAAATAGTACATTTATTGTTTATTGTTTGTCTAAATCCTACTGACCTCGCCCTTCCCTTCTCTAAAAATTTAAATTATCTTTTTTTTTTTTTTTTTAAGAAACTCAGTCAGTCATCAATTTTTATTAATGTATCTCTGCTTAACCCATTTACATAAGCAGAATCAAAGCATGCAACACATCAAAGTAGAGCTAATTCAGACACATCAAATATCCTTTTTAACTCTAATTTGGACAGATTAAATATTGTTCTACTCTAATTTGGACAGATTAAATATTGTTCTACTCTAATTTGGACAGATTAAATATTGTTCTACTCTAATTTGGACAGATTAAATATTGTTCTACTCTAATTTGGACAGATTAAATATTGTTCTACTCTAATTTGGACAGATTAAATATTGTTCTACTCTAATTTGGACAGATTAAATATTGTTCTACTCTAATTTGGACAGATTAAATATTGTTCTACTCTAATTCAGATTAATCCAAATCAGACAAGTCACACAACTCCCCACAATCTCTGAACTCAAAGTTTAGTGAAGAATAATACCCCTTCTAACTAATAGACGAGTAAAATGTCCTCTCTAATATCTTTATACACCTGAGTTCTTTATTAATGTCTAGCACATACCCAGATCTTCTTTTTCTTGGAGGGCTTCGTGGGATAGTTCGGTCCAAGGCACTCGGGGTGATATGTGTTCTGACATTTGTCACAGCGCAGGAGCTGTCCGTAACAAAAAAAATCAATTATAGTTATGGTTTCTTTTATAGGTACTCAAAGAGCCCAGACAAGATTCACTTAAAATGTTACCCTTACTTGACCTTTGACCTGGAGATGGAAACCATTGTGACCTATTTTAAATGTACCGCTTCCTTTCTTTGAGTGATGCAGATATACTGCATTTAACAGTTTAAAAGTTTTGGCATGCACAGGATTTTGCTCAATACTTTTGCACCTATTAGACCTTTGACCTTTATTTGACCCTTGACCATCAGGTCAGTGTCAGAGTGATCTAATTATTGTGCATCATTACACACCTTGAGTGGGTGATGCTTGTACACTTTAAGTTTTATAAATATATCTTTAATGATATAAGAGTTATGGTCCAGACAAGATTTCGCTGGAAACGTCACATGTTACAGTACTACTTAATGTTTCAGTAATTTAGGGGATAACCCTTCTGTATTTTGAAATTTGCGGCGTTATATCGTGATTATACTGTCGCAAATTGAATTTACTGACGACGCGTCATGGAGGTATATCGTGATTACTCTTGTCGCAAATTGAATTTATTGGCGATTCGGAGCGGAGCCAGTCAAATGGATATTTGCAACAGTATAATCACGATATACCACCGCAAATTTCAAAATATAGTAGGTTTATCCCCATTCTAATTCCATATCAACCAAAACCACCGAAAGAAACAATGATTTTAAGATATTTCTATTGTTCGTAAGGTCATGATAATAATCAAATTTCATGACATGTCATGGTCGGTCTGGTTCATCAACGTCATTAACAACCGCCATCCCGGGGTTCATATGCAAACGAGAAATTTGCAGACAGTATATCCTGGTTTTACTGTCGCAAATTGTTTTGATTGACCAATCAAATGGAAATGCCTTGTTATATTTCATTTCAAATGAATAAGAAATATTGTTTACAGTGTAAAGGTTACGTCTCATACAATATTACATAGAACCCGTAACAATATGTCTCCCTCCATTCCAAGGCACAACAAGATCTATATACTTTACATGTATCAAAGAAATGGTTGATAGAAAGTGGATTACAACCACACCATACAACTGTAATTAACAGCTTCCCACTGTCCCTGTACAAGGGTAGGCACAACAAGATCTATGTACTTTACATGTATCAAAGAAATAGTTGATAGAAAGTGGATTACAACCACACCATACAACTGTAATTAACAGCTTCCCACTGTCCCTGTACAAGGGTAGGCACAACAAGATCTATGTACTTTACATGTATCAAAGAAATAGTTGATAGAAAGTGGATTACAACCACACCATACAACTGTAATTAACAGCTTCCCACTGTCCCTGTACAAGGGTAGGCACAACAAGATCTATGTACTTTACATGTATCAAAGAAATAGTTGATAGAAAGTGGATTACAACCACACCATACAACTGTAATTAACAGCTTCCCACTGTCCCTGTACAAGGGTAGGCACAACAAGATCTATGTACTTTACATGTATCAAAGAAATAGTTGATAGAAAGTGGATTACAACCACACCATACAACTGTAATTAACAGCTTCCCACTGTCCCTGTACAAGGGTAGGCACAACAAGATCTATGTACTTTACATGTATCAAAGAAATAGTTGATAGAAAGTGGATTACAACCACACCATACAACTGTAATTAACAGCTTCCCACTGTCCCTGTACAAGGGTAGGCACAACAAGATCTATGTACTTTACATGTATCAAAGAAATAGTTGATAGAAAGTGGATTACAACCACACCATACAACTGTAATTAACAGCTTCCCACTGTCCCTGTACAAGGGTAGGCACAACAAGATCTATGTACTTTACATGTATCAAAGAAATAGTTGATAGAAAGTGGATTACAACCACACCATACAACTGTAATTAACAGCTTCCCACTGTCCCTGTACAAGGGTAGGCACAACAAGATCTATGTACTTTACATGTATCAAAGAAATAGTTGATAGAAAGTGGATTACAACCACACC